CCTCACCTGGGAGTATTTTTTCCATTGATTTTTAGAGAGAGTGGAAGGGAGAGAGGAAGATGGAGATGGAGATAGAGAGGGAGAGGGAGAGGGAGAGGGAGGCTGGGGATTGAACCTGCAACCCAGGTACATGCCCTTGACTGGGAATGGGTCCTGTGACCCTTTGGTGCTTGGGGCTGATGCTCTAATCACTGAGCATACCGGCAAGGGCACATGTACAAGTGGAATTTCTGGGCCATATGATAACTCCATGTTGAACCACTTGAGGAATTGCCAGACTGTAAAATGGCTGTAGCATTTTACATCCCCAACAGCAGGATACAAGAGTTCCAGTTCCTCCACATCTTGCTTGAGGCCTTTCTTTAGCCACCATCTCCTCAATGTCATTTTTTGTTGCTTCCCTCTTCCCCAGGAGTTTCCTCCCATCTACTCCTCTGGCGGTCTCATTCAGTCTCTTGGCTTTAAATGCCATCTATCTGCTGATGACATCCAAATTTCTGTCTGCAGTCACCACTCTCCCCTGAATTCCAGACTTATCCAGTTTGCCCAGGACAGTTCTGGTTTATGCTTATTATTGTGACATTAGGCATCATTATTAATAGTGTTCTATTAATTTTCTATTGGTGCTATAACAAATTACTGCAAACCCAGTTGCTTAAACAAGACAAATTTATTATCTTACAGTTAGGGAGATCAGAAGTCTGATGTGGGTCTCGCTGGGCTAAAATCAAGGTGTCTGGCTGGAATGTGTCTCTTTTTGGTGTCTGTCAGGGAAAGTCTGTTTCCTGGCTCATTCAGGTTATTGGCTGCATTCAGTTCCTTGTGGTTGTAAAACTGAAGTTCCCATCTCCTCGCTGGCAGTCAGCTGAGGGTTATTCTCAGCTTCTAGAGGCCACCCCCATTCCTTAGGTCCTGGGCTCCTTTGTCTTCAAAGTCAGCAAAAGTGAGTCAAGTTCCTCACTTGCCCAGTTTCTACTGCCTCTTGTTCTGTTCCACTCTTCCACCTTCCTCTTCCAATTTTAAGGACTTGTGATTAGATTGGGCCCACCCAGATAAACCATGATACTCTCTCCATCTCAATATCCTTAACCTCAATCACATCTACAAAGTCTCCTTTGCCATGTAAGGTAAATGTTCACAGGTTCTAGGGATTAGGATGTGGCCAACCTTGTGTGTGTGTAGGGAGGCGGTGTCATTATTCTGTCTACCACAACTGTATTGGGCAATTACACAGTCTATGTTCCAGACAACTGTCTACTTGGATGTCTCATGGAGCATTTCGAATTTAACATGTCCAAAAGTGACCTTTTAATTTATTCTATACCAGCGGTTCTCAACCTGTGGGTCATGACCCCTTTGGCGGTCGAACGACCCTTTCACAGGGGTCGCCTAAGTCCTGTATATCAGATATTTACATTATGATTCATAACAGTAGCAAAATTACATTTATGAAGTAGCAACGAAAATAATTTTATGGTTGGGTCACAACATGAGGAACTGTATTTGAAGGGCCAGAAAGTTGAGAACCACTGTTCTATACCAAAACACTGGCCCTCACCAGTCTTCCCCACATTAGTAAATGGCAACATTATTTACCTTGTCAAGTCTAAAGCCAAAAACTGCCCTGGCCCATTTGGCTCAGTGGTTAGGGGGGGTCTCAGGTTCAATTCCCAGTCCTGGTCAGGGTGCACGCAGGAGGCAACCAATTGGCATGTCTCTCTCACAATGATGTTTCACTCTCTGTCTCTCTCCCTCCCTTCCACTTTCTCTGAAAATCAATGGAAAAAAATCCTTGGGGGATGATTAACAAAGAAACAAACACCAAACAAAAAAGCCAAAGACCTAGGTGCCATTGTGAGGCCTTCTTTTTATTCCCTATATTCAATTAATCAGCTTCCTTCTGCACTCCCCCTACTGGGAATTGAGCCTGCAACCTGGGCATGACTGTGACCCCCTGGTTCATAGGTCGACATTCAGCAAGTGAGCCACACTGGCCAGGCAACTCCTCTCCATCTTTATTGCTACTATTCTAGCCTAAGCCATCTTGGACTTTGTAATATAGTCTCTTATCTGTTCTTCCCACTCACAGCCTTGCTTCCCTCCAATCTATTATCCACACAGCAGCCAGAAAGAAATTTTTACAATGAAAATCAAATTGTATCTTCTCTACATAAAAACCTTCAATGACTCCCCACTGCATTTAGAGTAAAGTCTAACTTCTTCCTATGGCCCAAATGGCCATATATGATCCGGCCCTTTATCCAATGTCATCTCATACACTCTCTCCCTCACTCACACACTGGCTACACTCACCCATTTTCTGTTTACTAAGTCCTCCCAACTACCAGCACCACTTTGGCATCTTCTGCTTTCTCAGGCAGGAATGTTCTTCCTAGTTCTTTGCATGATGGCTCATTCTCACCCTCCAGCTCTCATCTCAAATGTCACATCTCAGAGCGGCCTTCCCTGGCTTCCTGATTTAAAATATTTGCCTCACTCCCACATTATTTCTATAATAAAGTGCCCTGTTTATTTTCCTCATAACATTACAATATGTTGATTTGTTTATTTCTTTATTGATAGCTGCTTTCACTAGAATGCAAGCTCCAGGAGGGCAAGAATGTTATCTGACTTATGTACCACTGTGTCCAGAGTGCCCAGTAGCTGAATAAATACATGAAGCCAGTGTTCTTCCACTCTCCCAACACCTTTTGCTTGTTTCCATCTCTGTGACACTGCGCATGACCTGCCTTCAACCTGCAATATCCTCCAACTTATTCTTTTTTTTGTGTGTTGTTGTTAATCCTCACCTGAGGATATTTTTCCATTGATTTTTAAAGAGAGTGGAAGAGAGGGGAAGAGACACACAGAGAGAAAAACCTCAGTATTAGAAAGATACATCAATTGGTTGGCTACTGCAAGTGCCTGACCAGGATGGGGGATTGAGCTTGCAACTGAGATACATGTCTTTGACCAGAATCAAACCCGGGACCCTTCAGTCGATGCTCTATCCACTAGCCAGGGCTCCAACTTATTCTTGACCAATTAATATCCTCTCACTTTCTTCAAATTTAGTTCAAGCCCTAGCTGGTTTTTCTGTGTATAGAGTGTTGGCCTGCCCACTGAAGAGTCCCGGGTTTGATTCCAGTCAGGGGTACATGCCCGGGTTGTGGGCTTGATCCCCAGTGTGTGGTGTGTGAAGGCAGCCAATCAATGATTTTCTCTCATCATTGATGTTTCTATCGCTCTCTCCCTCTCCTTCCCTCTCTGAAATCAATAAAAATATATCAAAAAACCACTTAGTTTAAGACTCATTACCTCCAAAATGCCCTGGTCATTACTGGCCTTTCTCACCTGATGGTCCCGTTAATCATTGATTCAGTAAGTATACACAGAACTCCTTAGCAATTTTGCAAACAGCCGTTACCACATTATCATGCCTTTGCTTGTATTTGCTTTGTAATCATAGTCATTTCATGTATGTAGTTAAGTTTTGTTCCCGAAGACTGTAAGTTACTCCTGGGTCAATATTGCATCACACTTTATATAATTCAACTAAAGCACTTAGTCCAGTTTGGTGTACACTGTCAGCCATAAAGCAGAACACTCTTTTTATAGCCCAGAGAAAATGCAAATAGCTGGAAGTTCATTTTAGGAACAGAACTAGTCTTTTAAAGAGTTGTTTTGAAATTAGAAAAAGGAGGCATATGCTTTTCCCTCTTTACTTTATTTAAAAATATCAAAACAACAGCTCCAAAAACATTCCTGTGTGTAGCAGTAGCAAGAATTTAGCTATCTATTTCATCATACCTATGGAAGAATGCACAGAAGATATGAGGTAAGTAAACTGAGGTTAAGATTTTAGATTTAGTTATAATTCTTTTGCAGCTTTCAGAATGTCAAAAAGTAGTTCACCTCAAGGGAAATAGAGAATAACAAACATGAACTAGTCACTCCAGGTAAAGAGTTTCCACCCTCCAAACTCTAAAGGATTGGGCTACCAATGAGATTTTCATGTGTGTATTAACTGCTATTCCCCATGAAACACAATCTGTCATGGCAAGTGGTATATTTTGGTATATTTCAATAGGACAAGGTTCTGAGAGTTTAAAGATTTTGGCCAGTATATATTTTACCATAGTTTTATAACTCAGATTAGTAATAATAAGTGATAACACATAATTTTTATTTGGAAATAAAAAGGTTTAATAGGGAAAATACTTTTAACATACTTGCATATGTATAAATTAGTATCATAATATTAGATATTTTTAATGCAAAGACAGGCACTATTTGAAAGTACAGTTCTATAAACTTGACATAGAATCTCCAAGGTGGAACAATCCAAAATTTGACTTTTTAAAAACTTGGTAGACATGAAGTGTTTGCTCAGTTATTTATGTTTTTTTGGTATGTGTGTCAAATGCTCTATTTGATCCTTTCTAGGCAACTGGGACATCTTCTGAGAATAACTTAAGTTGACTAAATAATTTATTTTCAGGGTAAGCTTGCAAAGCAAGTAAAAAAGGCAGAGAATTCAGGCCACTTACACTGTACATGACTGCAATTCAAAGAAGGCCTTTTGGAGCATAATTAGGCAGTCATGATAAAAACTGCCTTCCTGAAACAAGATTTAAGCCTGGGATGCTTCAAATTTAGCTGAAGGATGGTTCTGCTATGACACTCATAACTTTTAAACGTTGAATATTTTCAGTTAGCTTCTGAGAAGGCATAACTTACACTGTGGTGTGTACACTCAGAAGTCAGCAAAGCTTATGAGTTCCAGAGTGATTATATTAGGGATCCGCAGGTCAAATTGAGCAAAACTAAGCTCATGTGGGTTAGTACAAGCTGTGACGCTGTGACGCTGTGGCTGAGAGCATGACGTGGTCTCTGCTCAGCCGCTTCAGCTACATGT